ATCCATCCATCCATCCATCCATCCATCCATCCATCCATCCATCCATCCATCCATCCAGTTCCCCTGTGGCGCGAGCACAGGGCGACTGTTGCACGCCTTTAGCGAGCATGCTCGTTTCCTGTTGCCTGTGCGGTGAATCATGCCGCCTGCGCTGTGCGGAGATGCAGGGGAAACTGTATCTGATGGGGAAACGCAGCTCGACGTAACACCAGTATTTCAATCTGGAAAACGCTCTCTCGCGGCTGGAGCCCTCCTCACTCTCCAACTCTCTGTGTGTTTGTTGTACGTTAACACCCGTAACAGCCAATCTCATCCTCCCCTCTCTCATGACAAGGCGCGCACGAGTCCTATCATGAAAAAAAGGTTCATTGTGCGACCTGACTAACGCGCAGTACCGGGGTGTTTGCAATGGTAACTGCGTTATAGTTACAGTCAAAGTAATTAGTTAGATTACTCGTTACTAAAAAAAGGTAACGCCATTAGTCCCATCACTAGAGATGGATCACCTGCCACTAGAGGGTGCTACTGGTGTGCAAGTTTTCCAAAACAATGTCAGACTCCATAATTTTCTCTGGTCCCCTCCCTGATGTGACCAGTGATGACATGTTTAGCTGCATGTCGTCATTCAACCACTGATTGTCTTGGTGGTGTCCTGAATACAACGTGGGCTACATGAATAATTGGCAATCCATTTGGGGAAGGCCATGTCTGATTTGGAGAGATGGCATCAATCCCATTTTGGATGGTGCCGCTTCTCTTTCTAGGAATCTCTTTGAATTTATTAGTCCTCCAAAACACTGACAACCCAGGGTTCAAACCAGGAAGCAGAGTCGTAGTTTAACACATCTCTCTGCAGCTTCTCTACTGTTAGCCACTCATTACTCCATCCAGACAGTGTCTTGCCTACAACCAAAATCTAATAAATTAGAAAAGAATCCCAAAGAAGTAAATCATGATAATATAATAAAAATGAAAAATAACTCCAATTGGGGAAAACGTTAAAATTATTAAATGTGGTTTGTTTAACATAAGATCTTTTTCTTCAAAAAGTCTGCTAGATAATGAATTGATTTATAATAATCACATTGATTTATGTTGACTTAGAGAAACTTAGCTGCAGCAAGAGGATTATGTGAGCATAAATGAGGCAGCTACTTCTAGTGATTTAAATTTTCACAGGCCCAGAAGTTCTGTGTATGTACTATCTGATTTGGTGTTGAATACTGAAAGGGTCATCACAGTGGGGGATTTTAACATCCATGCTGACATTTA